TCAGAGAACATCCGGTTGGTATTGGTATCGCAGGAAAATCGTCGAAGCCGATATTCCACAAGTATGGACCTAGCACCGATCCCTGAGGACATCCCATTGTAAGCGCCTCCGACACAGAATGATGACCAAGTTAATGACCAAGTTGACCAAATGATGATCAAGTTAAATTAAGTTTGTCTTTTATTCTTCTTTTTATTTACTAAAGGATACAATGTCCAGATATTTATTTCATTTTTTACCAGCTGGTACCCGCGACTTCGTGTGCGTGGAATCTGAAAAGCTGCCTTAGTGGGCTCTATGCCCTAAGCGGGCAAAATTTTGAAGGGTTTTTCTGAGAGGAAAAATAGCCTAATTTATTCCTTATGTTGACAACTACCTGGTTGTAAAATGTGATCGAAATTACCGCGTGAGCATTTGTGAAAAAAGCCCTTGTGGTGACGGATTAACAATACAGAGTGTTACTACCCTTATTTGTCTCGTGGATGTCGTAAAAGCCGACTAGGGGAGCAAACCATGAAGGACAACAGCACTGCAAAGAGAAGGAACACTTGAAACAAACCAACCCGTTTGGCCAGCGTGACATAATGGGCCAAAACCCAAGAAAGATCCTATTGATAATACTAATAATAATAATAACCATATTGATAATATAGGTATATGTGTATAGTATTTAACTGACTGCACGGATGGCTTAGTGATTGAAGCGGCCGCCACGCCGCTTACTACTACGCTGAGTGTTGTGGGTCCGATCTCCACATGGGACGATACTTTGTGTGGTCCACAACTTGTTGTTCTGAGTCTGGGTGTTCTTTGTGTCCGTTTCTTGTATACATATTTGTAAAGTACCCCGCGACACAGGATATATTCCTAATGCGAAAATTGTCTTTTCAATAAGAGATAACATAAATTGATTAATGATATTTTCATTTATTTGAGACACCTTAGTTTTAACCACATAATGTGTAATACATTTATTATTGCAATAAGATAATTTTGAATTTAATATGCAGTCTTCGAGACACTGGGTGCAGCTTTCTTGGTCGAGTCCTTCGCATTGGCGTCACGGACGGCTTTGCCGCCCTTTGAAGTCCTTTTACCGGCATACGCGCTGGATGAGATAACCAACACTAACATCAAGATTGTGATGAAAAGCTTCCCAAGATTCATGATGATCGGTCCTATTAAATATACAAAATTCCTAGTTTAAGTACAGATTAGAAATATTGTTAAGGTTACGTCAATGTTTCCAAATGTATCTTTTTTTATATTATGCATGACATTCTGACACATTCTCATCTCCATTAGATGTAAATGACGAGCAGAGATATAAAATGATGAATTAAATAATATCATGTTATATCTGTACTAAATATATGCCTATGTAAGTATGAAAAGCCGTAACATTACTCACAACCAAACAATGTTTTGTGTGTTATATGAACTAACTATTTACATCTCTAGTCTAGAAGCTGACTTTGAGAACATATTACAATTAGAAATGTAACTATCGATTTTGAGTGCAGTGAATTAACCTAAACATGTAAATTTGTTAGGAAGAACATAACTGGAGACTCTACTCGGGGGTTGTGCGGTCCATGGCCCTTTACGGGTGCCCAGTATGGGCGGGGGCCCTGAAGGCCAGCAACGTCGCGATACTGCGACGACCGCAGCGAGTGCTGGCCATCAGGATCATAAGGGGGTTCCGCACGATCTCCTTTGAGGCGGCGAGTGTCCTGGCCGGAACTCCACCGTGGGACCTGGAGGCGAGAGCCCTTGCGGCTCTGTACCAGTGGCGCAAGGAGGCGCGGAAGTTGGGTCGGTGCCTCGAGATTCGAGAAATCGATGACCGGAAAGCCCAACTCCGCCAGGTCATCATAGGGGAGCGGAGGGAACGACTCGGGCAACCGAGCGCCGGGCACGCCGTCATCGCGGCGGAAAGACCCGTTATGGAGGATTGGCTACAGAGGCGTCACGGGACCCTCTCATACCGACTGACGCAGGTGATCACCGGGAAAGGATGTTTCGGGGATCACCTGTGTCTGATCCGCAAGGAGCCAACGCCTGAGTGCCACCACTGCGATGGCCAGACCGTGGACATGGCTCTCCACACGATGGCAGAGTGCCCGGCGTGGTTTGAGCAGAGGCGAGACCTCGTGGCGGCCATCGGAGTGGAAGTTCTCTCGCTCGATAGCCTGATTGCGGCTATCGTGCGGAGCGAGAGTGAGTGGAACTCTGCCGTCTCCTTCTGCGAGCAAGTTATGCTCGCAAAGGAGACAGCGGAGCGGGACCGGGAGAGGTTTAGAACGGGCTAGGTACCGCAGGCGACTCAGGCGCCGGAGGTCGCAGAACGACCTTCGTCCTGTGAGGCCATCTGTCACCCTAGGAGAAGCAGGCCGGGGTGGCGGCGAGCGCGTTGCGAAGCGCGCTCGTTTCCAGAGAGCAGAGGGAACATCGGGTTCCCACACGGGGGGGGTCGTCTACTCGTCTGTAGATGGCCCGAGGTATGTCGGGGCACCAGGGACTTCCTTTCTAGGGTATACATGGTTCCCCGGCTATTAGTACCCGCGACGGCGTGCGGTTTTAGTCGGTTCGAGTCCGACATGCCACCGATAGGTGGTATCCGAGGGGATTTCCGCACGGAAAAAAAAAAAGGAGGAACATAACTAAATGATTTTTAAGTCAACACTGCATTTCACAACTAATATTGCAAGCGGATTGTGTCAATCACAATCCGCTTGCTACTTAAAGGGACCTGCATAAAAGTGGTACAATTTCTTATTTACATCCCAGTTTAAAACAGGGATATCAAGAACAAATTGCGTGAATATAGATTTGTGATGACACGACTATATTTGCTTCACACATTTTACGTACTCCTAATTATTGTTGTATAAGAATGAAACTTTAAACTGTACCTTGAAATTAATCTTATGGACCCAGGAGTTGGACAGTAAAACTCGTCAGGGGCTATTAGTAAACGTTTCTATTTGATGATTACAACAGATTGGGCTTAGTGACGATGATTATGTGATGGAGTCAGGAGACAGATAGTAGTATGTGTAAGTAATATATTTAATTAATAATAATATATAATTCACTTACCGCAGTTGCGTACTGTTAGAGAAAATACTGTACAAGTTGTGTGTCGTCCTGGAGTCAGCGAGGCTTATAAATGTAACTCATGCACATCATGTCGTTTTATATCATCCGTTTGCTGTTAATTGTAACAATTTTATTGTTATTTTAATTACGTTGCAGTTTAAAAATAGAAAGCTGATAAAAGAAAACTGCAATGCTCTAGGTCTAAAAGAAAATAACGTCTATACCATGAGAAGGCTTGTGTAGCCTTCTCATGGTAGAGAAAATACTGTACAAGTTGTGTGTCGTCCTGGAGTCAGCGAGGCTTATAAATGTAACTCGTGCCCATCATGTCGTTTTATATCATCCGTTTGCTGTTAATTGTAACAATTTTATTGTTATTTTAATCACGTTGGAGTTGTGTAATCGCTTAAAATAGAAAGCTGATAAAATAAAAATGGAATGTTCTAGGTCTAAAAGAAAATAACGTCTTTACGATGAGAAGGGTACACAAGATACACCGAACTAACAGTAACTAATACTAGTTCACGCAAATAAAATTCTCGTCACCATTAATATATATTATATATATCAGGGTGGCCGTCCACATTCAACGTCTAACGGTGAGGAAGTGGTAGGTGAGCGCCTTACATTTCCAGTAAAAATATTGAAAAATTTCATTTATTCTAATTTTTAACATTTTATTGAAAATCGGTGAAATCTGACACCTTGGACCATTTTTTAGGGTTCCGAACCTCAAAGGTAAGAAAGGAACCCTTATAAGATCACTTTCGTATCCGCCTGTCCGTCTGTCCGTGTGTCACCACCGATTTTCTCAGGAACGGGTGTCTACCCTATACTGGCAAGTTGAAATTTATACTAGATACTGAGGTCTATGGTCCCTATAAGGAGTATAAAAATTAAGGTACTGAGTCAACACGATAAAAAAATATGGGCAAATTTCGATTATCGCGAAAACTTGTGAGTACCAAAATTTAACTTCATTTTCAACTTTTTTTATTTTTCAGAATTATGTCTTTACTTGTGCCTACCTTGCTTTTAACCAAAATTGTCAATTCTAGGTCAACCAGGAGTACCCTATAGGTTTTGGTTCGAAAACCTAAATGGTAGTTCCCGTTGACCTAGAATCACGAAAGGCAAAAAGAAACGTCTTACAGCACAAATAAAGGAATAATTCCAAAAAATAAAAAAGCTTGTTATGTTACGTGAGGTTGTTAAGTGTCACAAAGTCTATAAACCCATAGGCCAGTGAGGAACCCCGACTGAGTACAGGCTCACAACAATTATTACTAGTAGAAGAATCTAGAAACGATATACAACTCATATTGCAATCCCCAACAAGGCATACATTTTCCATGCCCTCGGAAACGCGATTGAAGGCGCGATTTAAAGGTGGCGGAAGGTATGCAGCACAGAAGTACTCGTATATATGTTTTCTATGACTAACTTCTACTTTCAGATAAAGATCTTCACATTGACTCTCCGCTTCTTTAAATCGGGCAGAATATAATTTATTGGAGACTGCTATTAACACACCCCCACCCTCCTTTGTTGTATGAAAACCAGTGCTCTCGCGATCCCTTCTATAAACCACATAACGACTATCAAATAGTTCAGCATCACATATATTGTCCCTTAACCATGATTCGGTCAGAATAACGATGTCATAATCTGCACCTACAATACTAGTTAAAAAGTTGTGGGTTTTGGTCCGTAGACCTCTGACATTTTGGTAATATATACTAAGGCGATCGAATTTTGGAGGATGTACATTATATACATTGATGGAATACTTCAACAAGAACAAGGCAGTGACGTAGATGTAAGTGACTTAAATCTATCTAGAGCTTCTTGATGTTAATATAAATAAATTCACTCTCTTCTGTCTTTCACATGAAAACTCAACCTTGTTTAATCCATACAAATTTCAATTCTTTATCGGGCTTTCTTTGTCGGGCTGCTGCATGCACTTTCTTGTTTGTAGGAGACAAATGCTCAAGAACGTAAACGGGCATTTTAGTTCCACCAATGCCTATGTGGTTAGTATTAATTTTATCATTTGGATTTGCCTTGTTAAATCGTTTGACCTTCGCCAAAAATGTATCTCGAAGTAATGGTGTGGCTAGTTTGACTATGATAGTTCGGGGTATCGTCGTCGTTGTCGTCTCTATTACTCTTTGCAACATGAGTGCAGTGATAAATGTCTGCTTCTTTCAGGTTGCAGGACACTACTTTAGCGAGTTGCATTATGACTGATAATAATTTTTTCCTGTCTATGTTCGAGAACACAATGTATCTCAAGATTCTTAGATCGATTGTGTTGTTCCATTACTTGAAGTCTAATCTGCAGATCCTGCAACGTAGTTGTCAATTGAGCGTTTTCCTTCTGTAGCCTACCCAGCGTTTCCTGGTATGTAGTAATAGCAGTTTTAGTGCTCTTGTATTATAGATAAAAATTACTTACAGAAAGTTTAAGGAATATAAGAGTGGTATTGGAAGGTAGTAGCACAAGTTTATTTACATGCACAGAAGGAGAAACAAGACTCACAAAAAATAACACAGCACAAGAAACAGTCAAGAGAAAATTTGATATAAAATGTCACAGATTTGCACGTTGTATTTATACATAGAATTTTATATGTTTCATAGGCAAGAAAATAGGTTTCGCGACCGAGGGCAGTACGAGAACTGGGCCTCAATTCTGCTATTTTATGTTCACGCCAAGCCACTGTCAAAAGAAATAAATAACTTAAAATAAATTATAAAAAAAATAAAATTATAAAAAAGTTAAATAAATTATTAAAATAAAAATAAAAAATATATTAAAATAAATAAATCATTTCCTTACAATTGGAAAATCTATTACGTTTTTTGAGGAAAGGATTTATTTATTTTTATTTTAATAAATTGTTAAAAAAAAACATATATATAAATTATAAAAAAAAAGATATAAATAAATTATATTTTTTTTTCTATCATTTATTTTCATTTATTTATTTATTTTAATAATTTATTATAATAAAAATAAATAAATCATTTCCTCAAAAAACGTAATATATTTTCAACTACCGATATTTATATCGATGCCAATGGCCACTCGATGGCATCTCAATAGCGTGTCAGTGGCTTGGCGTAAACATAAAATAGCAGAATTGAGGCCCTCATTCTATGCTGCGGTCGATGCGCTTGCACCGACCGACGGCGGAAACAATAGACCTCGAAGATTAGTGTGGTCCCACTACACCGAATGAAATATAAATAAATATTATTCGATTTACTTAAATTATTTATATAAAGTAAAAGTGTATCTGGTAGTATAGAATATGTAAATAAATAATACATTTTATATTGTAATGATATATAGTGTATAATAATAAGAGATATGTTATTATATTAGTTATAGAAGTGTTTAGATAGAAGGAAGATAGTATTAGAATATTATATAGTATAGACGTGTATGTATGTATTTGTGTATACCTCCTACACTCTCATAATTATCATCGAGAAATTTAACGCTATTTTCTAGAATAGTTATTTCGTGTCTTATGGATTGAAGTTCGGGTTCTAACATTTGCTTAAGTGTTTGATGAAGCTCTTGTGCAAGCACTGATCTTATAAGGGTGAGTTCCTCTCTTATTATTTCCCGGATATCGTCTTTTGTAAAAACAGATTTACGCATATGTACGACCAGAGTTTCAATGCTTGTAGAGTGGGTAGAGTAGTAGTAGTAGTAAAATATTCTTGTTGGCATGCAGCGATAAAGCGGTGTAAGCACTTTTATTGTGAGGCGCGATGCGTATAAGCTGTCGCCTATGAGTGCGCTCCAGCGAGCGGTTCTTCGTAATAATATTAAACTTCGTAAGATATTAAAAAAAAATATTTGATGATTACTCACTCGTTTTAGGGAGCTTCTACACCACACTTGTATCACCGAAGAGGGCACAAAACAGGCCTTCTAATCGCGTATAGTATAATTAAAAATATGTAACATTAGTAGCGACTTTCAATTAAATAGTATAGAGCAGAAATAATACATTGTTACTTCACTCCGTTCGTAAACGTGACGTATGATTGCCGCCATGGTATAGATATCCGAGATAGCGCAGCGGGACCGGGAGAATTTTTGAACTCTCCCGGCCCGACAGGCCCGGGAACGGCCCAGGTACCGAGGACGACTAGGGCGCCGGAGGTCGCAGAACGACCTCCGTCCTCCATAAGCGCAGGCTTAAGGCTAGCTGAAGCAGGCCGGAGATGGCAGCGAGACGCGCTGCGGAGCGCGCGTGCCGTTTTGGGAGCACCAAGGGAACATGAAGGTTCTCACAGAGGAAGGGTCATCTACCCGCCGTAGCTGCCCCGAGGTACGTCGGGGTACCAGGGACTTCCTTTCTAGGGTACACCTGGTTCCCCGGCTACTGATACCCGAGACGGCGAGCGGTTTTTAGTCGGTTCCAGTCCGACATAGCCACCGGTAGGTGGTATCCGAGGGGATTTCGGCACAAAAAAAAAGAAAAAGGCTAAAAGGGTATTCCTTTTGTGTTGTTGTTCCTCCATAATAAGTAAATGAATTAAACAACAGTGGTAAAAAACTTTCTCAATATTAAATAGGAGTTTTTTTAAACGTTTTTTCAATAATTATTAGACATAGCATGACTGCTATGCCTTATAGATACGAGTAGTATAAACGCCGAATAAAGGTCAATAGAGAGACTTGTATTACATGATCTTTTGAAGATTCTAGTAAAAAAGGAAATGAATACACTGATTATCTTTTTTTTTCAATATTTACTTATAATACTTATACAACTATTTCTAAAAGCAAATTAAATAGAATGTGATTTTCTTAACAATATACTTTATTACTAATAAATATGCACCCTTGCATTCACTTCATCAATGTTTACATTCTCCAAAGAATACACTTGATATGTAATAAATAACTAATTACCATTTATATTAAATGTAAACTAAAATGTATATATTAAAACCATTTATCAAATAAAATTTACAATACGGGACTACTGCATCTCCTGTCGCGGTTATGAAATTTCCATGACGCTAACGACTCAGTTGACTTCAACTCTTCAGGGGCGAGAGCTCTTCCCCTAAACTCATCTTCAATATCTTGCAAAGTTCTATCTTTAGTTTCGGGTAATGTGAAATAAGCGACCACTAAACAATACGCTACGACCGCGGCATAAATACAATATGCACCATGAATTCCCATAGTGGCAAAGAAAAATGATGCCGTTTTCAACGTGATAAAAAGATTTGAAGACAATAAGAGAACGCTAAGTCCTCCAGCTAAACTTCTGTATTCCAAAGGAAATAGTTCACCAGCAATTATAAAAGGCAGTGGTACAGTTCCAGTAGCGACAGTGAACATGTGGATGTGTACTAACATTATTCCAATGAAAGGATGATCAAAAGGCAACAATCCATGGCTCTTACAGTAAGTATACGCAGCGGTTGCCAAGAAAGCACATATATTAAGAGAAACAGTACTAAATAACATTGTTCTTCGATTAATTTTCTTTATAAATAAGACAGCGAAGGTATTCGAGATTAGTCTTTGTAAACCTAGTGTGATTACCAGTAAAGCAATATTCGCATTCGTACCTACAACATTTGTAAAGATATCAGTAGTATATGAAGCAAGAAGATTTGCCCCAGCCCATTGGCCCAACGTATAAATATGCATCATAATGAATATTGGTTTGTAAAATTCTTTCTTTCTAATAGTGATGTTAAAGTAAGCAATATTGCTTTTGATTCTTTTACCAAATGATTTCGATATGTTAGCATCGGCTTTAGATTCTCTAACGATGATACTGGCTTCGATCATTTTATGCAGTTCCTCTTCTTCGTCTACATTTCGAAGCCAACGAAATACTCTTTTAGAATCCTCGTATCTGCCTTGATCCGCTAACCAACTAGGTGATTCTGGTGAATAAATAACTATTAACAAATCAACAAAAGCAACACATGCGCAGACTAGAGCAGTCACTTGCCAACTTAAGAAAGATCCCATAGAATGTACTGATACTACCCCAAGAGCTATACTTAAAGATATCACAGTCAAGAATGCTCCACGATTTTTAGGGCTAGTGTATTCTCCAATAAGAACTGGACCTAGAGAGGCACTCATTCCCATTGAAATACCTTGAAAAAACCTTGCCACAAGAAGTTGGTGAATGCTCTTAGCAGTGATGATGGTGAACCAGCCTGTAATGAGAGGTATAATACTAACAATGTTGGCTGTTCTTCTGCCGTAGTTCGCCATGATTAGAGGGACAATCAAATTGCCGGCAACTAGTGCGAACCCGTGGATTGACGCTGTAAAATAAAGATAAAACGAATAAGAGTAGTTGCAAAGTGTTTTTTTTTACTAGATTTAGCGAGGCACTGTCGTGTCCCCAGATCTCTGATAATAATTTTTTTCTCATCTAGTTGCGATTAAGCTTATTTGTTCAAACAAACACAAATGTAACTCACCAATCCAAGATCCTGAAGAATCATCTATAGGTATGATGGATTCTGGTTTCCGGAGTTGCGGCAGAAGTATAGCGGCAAACCCCATCACCAGTCCGTGGGCGGCCATGTTCAGACATACTCCCAGCGACACGAAGCACTGTAACGCAAGTATTATAACATTTTACATTAGGTTGAGTTATAACTGAATATAGCATACAGCCTTATGAAGAAGACGTGGCGCAGTAACATTCCACTAAAACGGTAAAGTTCACGAGTTTGATTATAGCTGAATGCAAACCAGTGGAGTTCTTTCAAATTGAGGTACGGTCAACGAGCTTTTTATTTTGAGTTTTTTTTTCTTTTACACTTCCATTACACTACACTTACACTTGCATTACAACTTTTACGGCATTATCTACCTGTCAACCTTAAAATGGTTCAGTAAGGGCAGGTGCACATGTAGGTATATGTAGGTATTATGTAAAAAGAAGAGAAGCTATGAACATATAACCTTAATTTGAAAATACTATTTTAAATACATAGACGAATACATAAATAACTATTAATATTTTATATATACGTAATAAAATATATACAATAATGTCTAAGGTGACAAAGTCATGAGGATATTCCTGCTAGCTGTTTTCTATAGAATTTTCGGACTTTAGCTTTGAACGTGTCACGACTTGCTGGCATCCTGATCTCAAGTGGGAGCGCATTTCATAGTATTTATATTTATAGAAACTAGCCAGCGTTTTTGAGACAAGATTTCTTTATATTTATAAGAGGTTAACTAGTGGTGTTTATTTGTTGTAATCATCTGGGGATATCATCATCATCATCATCAGGCTATCGCAGTCCACTGATGGACATAGGCCTCTCCCATTGCCGCCACTTAGATCGATTTTGGGCTTCTCGCATCATGCTCCTGCCAGCACGCATATCGTCACTCCACCTGGCCTGTGGGCTGGATATATCCCATAGCAAAACATAAGTCAAAGTAAGATATTTTGAGTAACTTGGGAACTGGTAGAGATAATAGATACTGTTTTGTTAATACAGTGCTCCTAGTCGATGAAACGAATCAAATAGTTTTTAATCATACCAGTAAAGGAAATATAATATTTGTTTACCCTTTCAGTAGTACAAACGAATATAGTAGTAGAAGAATAGTACGGAAATGAGTTTATTTAACTCACTAGGCATAAAACAGACGTTACAGAAGACAGTAATGAAAGAACAAACAAGCAACAATTATACATAATGTCTAAGAGGCTATATCTATTAATATAATAAATTATTAAACAGTAGTTATTTAGTATGTTTTTATTATTAGTATTATGTAGTCATTAATTAGTATGACGTGGTGTGTTGATGTAGCAATGGGACACGTTAATAATTTAGATTAAAAACAAAAAGAAACAATTAAGTATTATTACCTATAAAAAACATGTCATGTAAGTACATTTATTGGTGAGGGTTGTACGCCATGTCAGATAGGAGAACTTTCAGCATTTACTTCGATGGACGGGGCCCACATTTTCAGTGTCGACATGACACTTAAAATACTTCAAATTGTGTAAAAGCGTTTACATAATAATAGTTTCTTGATGGGGTACCTAGCAACATTTGACTCAGTGTTAGGTAATGACGTAAACACTAATAAGCTATTAGCACAGTCAATAAAATGTCATGCCATGAAAGTTTAATATCATTACAGTCATGCAAACTAATTTTAGTCGTCGCAACTAAGTAATAGAGTTCATGACACTTTGGGTGGTGATAATTATAATAGCTCAGGCCATTATCAATGGCCGTATTACCTGTAATCATCCGGTAAAGTTAGTACTTACTGATATTGTAGACGCATTCGTTAAATTATGTTATAAATACGAATGTGCGAACTGAATGTTTACCATACAAAATGGTACAGAATAAGAAATATGGCGGTCGTCCGTGGCAAAATCGACATTTACAAAGAAACCATGAACAACAGTTATTGAGACGGATTAATATCATCAACAGCCTTTAGTAGTCCACTGCTGCACATAGGCCTCTCCTTGCAAAGGAGGTTTTAGCCTACTACACTACGCTGGTCAGACTGGTAGGTGTAGGGTTTGTGTCAAGTTTTCCTTCACTTTGCAAGGCTGTTGTCCTGCGTAGTTTGCTTCCTGAGTCGGCTCTTACGACATCCACGGGATGAATAGGATTCCTCACAGAAAACCGGTCTTAGAGCAATTTCTCTGTTGCATTTCACGCAGTAAGTGAGGTATCCGGCGAACCCCAATATATCCCCCCCTCATAATAGAGTCGTTGGTAAATATTCTACCCCAGGGGGGAACCGGCTGGGAGAATCCCCTCTGGTCTGGGTTGCCCTGCGTATTCTGGGGGGAGGGGGCGCAGCAGCGCTCGACAGGATATCTGGCGGCGGCGGCAGCAGACACATCAGGCCACCCCTCGCCACGTTTGACGTGAATTTCTGACATATAAGGGGCCTTCACTCCAACCTCAACGCTGTCCACCACCACCTCGAGACAGTGAAGCTAGCCTTTCTCTTTCCAACTGAGACGCACTGTTATACGCATGAACTGATGTAAACATCACTCCTGGGGAGGGATGTTTACATCAGTTCAACCTTATTAAATGATTCTTTGGACATGAATGCTGTTGAAATTGATTGTAAAAATAAAGAGGAGCAGTCAAGGGCAAGGTAAAGAGGGATAGAGATTACAGTACTGAAGACGAAGAAGATTGGAAAGAAGTTAAGGCGAGCAAAAAGAAAAAGATCTGTAACGATAGTCAAAATTCTGTGAAAGAAGAAAAGTATGAGGTGTATGTTACACATAAAGAACGCCTTTCGAAACAGTTTGCAATGGCACGTATTAAAAAAAATATATATCACTAAAATAGGTGAAGTCAAATACTTAAACGATTTGACTGTTAATCGGCTGCCCAAAAACCTTCTTATGTGCGAGAAGCTTTTAAAGCAAGTATGGTGGTTCCAAAAGGGAATGCAGGCTGTCTGTTTGCTATGGCATAATTAAAGACGTAGACCTCGATTTTACTGATGACGAGATTCACAAAAATATTTCTTGTCCGGACCCCGTAAAGCTCTTATCTTTTATTAGGTTAGACTGTCGCAATAGAGATGAAGGTGGTTGGTGCCACAGCGTAATCTTTGCGTCTTTGTTTCGAGCATCACTTGCCAGCATCAGTTAATCAATATTAGGTATAACGTACACCAAGTGCCACAGTGTTCCCAATGTTGGAGATTAGGTCATACGCGGCAAATGTACCCCTCGAAAACCGTGGTAGGCCCGAAATGTGGTAGGCGTCATGAAAATTGCGATACTATAAAGTTTATATGTGTTAACTGCAATTGTAACCACATATCGCTTAGCAGGTCTTGTCGAGTTTACAAAAAAGGGAGAAGACTAAGAGAGATTATTTCTGAGTTTGAATGCACATTACTTCATGGTACGACTCTACGAAGCTCGCACGAATCGAGACGAGCTGCTCCGAAATCGGACGAATACGTAATCAGCTGTTTGTGAGAAAGTATATAGTTGTATAGGTATTTATCATCTATGTACAACAGTGAATATCTGTACTCGTATAATTTGTGTACAAAGTGTTTTAAATTTTAATATGAATAAACAAAGTGCATTTATTAACGAAAAATAAATAAATAATTATATTGCATAAGTTGATAAAAAATGCTATGCAATAGCTTTACCGCGGCAGTCCCCGAGTGCTACACGTCTTTTTTTTATTCCTTGTGATGGCTAACAAACCACTTAATTTAAATATATTCCAGTGGAACACCCAAAGTATAAGGCCAAAGTTGGCATCTTTTTATGAACTTTTGTGTCAGGAAAAAGTACATATTGCTGTCCTTAGTGAGACGTGGCTTAACTTTAAAGTCAGTTGTTATGATGTTTATCGCGCGGACAGGGATGACTCAATGTTAATAATAATTTTAGTGTGAGTCCTGGTTACTTGATTAAATAAATTAATTATTATTATTATTTAAAATAAAAGTTCCTTTATCCATTTGAGGAACGGAACCCTACATTACAGAACTCTACAAGATCAGACCTCTTGTGAGTATAAGGTACATATATTGGCATATCATCAATACTTTGAGGATATCGACTTTAACATCAATAGGCGTTCATATCTATAGCTGTTTATCAGGTGAATTGAGGAACTTGATCATTGACTTGCTATTATCTAAAGCATCATTGATAACAATATCTAAGCGCATACAAAGTAATCCCTTACTATACTAACACGAACCATTTTCCATTGGGGCCATTTTCAGACTCCCTATAACTCAGGATCTTATAAAGATACTGATATAAAACTGTATTCGTCGTATGAGTCCTCTCACTACACCATTTAATAACTTTAAAAGTTCTAAGTGTAATAATTTACGAAGAATTAAGGTTGGAAATTCATAAATTCTGAAGGAATCTGAATGACTGACAGAAAAGTCGATCGATTTCTCTGTTTCTAGACATCTCAGATACATGAAACTTTGTGCACAGCTAAGGTTTGGCGAATGTCAATGCAGATTTGTTTTCTAACCTGATACTGAACCTAGGCTTGGCGCCTTGACGGCCTTGGAGGAAAACTGACTGAAGTGACGCAAACTGTTGTGGCGACTTCTAAATACAACGTGTCTTGCTTTTTACACCGAAGTGTATCGAACAACGGAGTATCTATTAATTCGACTGCATGTATGGCGTGGTGTTTTAAGCGGTCGCCTCGACGCTTCCTACTGCGCTGAGTGTTATGGGTTTGATTCTTATGTGGGACGACACTTTGAGTGATCTACAAATTGTTGTTCTGAGTCTGGGTGTTCATTGTAGACTGCTGATAAACACACATCTGTAAAATACGTATATAATATATGTTATTATTATTATAGATAAATTAAATCCAGAAACAGAATAATGGACGTTCTCATAACTAGTGATGTGCCGGATCGTTAACAAAGTATATCCGCGGATACGGATCCGAATACGGATATTTGGTGTCAAGACCCGCGGATACGGATACGGATACGGATCTTAAGTTTCTTACTCAATCGGAGCCCGTAACCTAGATTGTTGTCGCCACTTGACGCTTTGCCGTTGATGTTTAAATATTTCATTATTTTAATAAGCTAATACAAAGATGTTTGATTGATCTCAATATAAAGATAGCTCTTTCAGTACCTACGACCTGCCTAGTTGATTTAGTGTAGTACGATAAATGATTGCAATACAAAGGTGCCAAATATTTGTTTTAAGAAATAAAAAGTAATCTGAACAGAATTCAATAGTTTTTCATAGCTACCTAATAACCATTATTTAGGGTTATTTTAAATTTACTGAAAACCTCTGAAGTGCATATTAGTAACATTATAAACAACAACTTTTCTTCTGGACTAACACCGAAAACGAAAGAAAAAAAATTGTTTCTCCATACAAACTAACAACATTTGATTGGTCATTTGAATGAGGGACCAATTTTTTTTTCATTTTGACGTTGACCAGAAAAAAAGTTGCTGTTTATAGTGTTACAAACACATACCTAAGAGTTTTACAGTGAATACAAAATCACCTATATAGAATTTCATCTATGTATTGAAAGATCCGCCAAAAAAGTCACGGATACGGATACGGTTACGGTTACGGATATCTGGCACATCACTGCTCATAACACAATTATTCGCCCTGTCTTGGAGCCAAACTTGTCAGGATTACTGGCCACTAGACCAACAGGCCAGTCATATTGAAACAAAGTATTTATGTAAATACTATGCTGGGTAATTGGGTCCAACGAGCTAACAAGACACAGGATATGCATCCGGCAAACGAGGGAACTCATCAACACTCAACAGCATAAGCACGAAACTTTATATATGGATTGAGATACGACAGTTTATTCTAAAATTTACCACGGCCAGACATCAACAGCCTTAATTTGTCCACTGCTAGACATAGGTCTCTCCTTAAAACAGAGATTTTGGCCTACTATACCACGCTGGCCAGACGGGTTGGTATAGGGTTTGTGTCAAATTTTCCTTCTCTTGCTGTGTTGTTGTCCTGCATAGTTTGTTCCCTAAGTTGGCTTTTACGAAACCCACGGGATGAATAGGGATGTGACAGACTGTGGTCCTCATTATTGACTCCAGACGAGAGAATTTTTGTAATTCAACACTGCAGATATGAAAAAATAAATATAGAACGCCTTTGACAAAATGAAAAGAAACACCAACACATTACGAGCCTGAAAAGAAACACGCTTGTGTATGAAGTGGTCAGGTTAAAGGTTAAGAAATTGCTTCAATGTGTGTATACACACCGTGTTGCAGCAACGAGAATGTTTGCATTAAATGAAGAGGCTCTCTTTTTAAGTTATAAAAATCTTTTATGTCATGATCTAAATAATATATACTTTTTATAAAAACTCTAACTAAGATACTACGGTGTGCACACATTAAATTATTAAAAGATTATTCTAAAATTCACAATGACTCTTAAAAAGAAATGTATGCAAATTCAATTGTAGTGAGTCCCGCTCCTAGCTAGTCAATACGAAATTCAGCTAGCCGAGGTGTTATCAAGTATTAAAGATATTTTATAGACATTTGTAAAAACATTATTTTAAATTATTACACTTCATTGCTTACTAGGTATTTAAGTGGTGGTGTAATATTCTTCTAGTTATAAATTTTAGTTCACAAGTAGTCAATCCTGTTTAATTTTACAACAAGCCTGCTTCATTTAGATCATAGAGAAATACCTATAAAAGTAGAATTGCGCTGATAAGGCCAATTCAATAACACCGCCACCCAGCTAGAGTGACTGACATCTTGAGAAAGGTAGCTGGCATTGATTGGATTGGTTCCCGGAGGACCGAGCTGTCCTGCACGTTGGAAGAGGCTATGTTCAGCAGTGGACTGCAATAGGCTGATTGCTTTAATATGAGTTTTTGCACACGTACGTGTAACAAGTTGTTAGGAGTACAGACAAGAATTTAGAATACTTTCAGCCGCTGTCAAATACTAACAAAGGACGTGTCATTAATACAAATTTTTTAGAAACCTAAATTTTTAAATATACAATCCCATTACAACACATCAATAAAATAAAGTAAATTTAATAAATAAATGAAATTTTTAAAATATAGATGGATGGCGTAGTGGTCTGTGTAACGGACTGCTATTCTAATGGTCGCGGGTTCAATACCCGCTCAAGTCAAACATTTGTGTGCATGAACTTTTAATGTTTGATTTGGTCTGGGTGTTTCTATGTATAATATGTATGTATTTACAAAAAAAAGTATCTAAGTATTTATATCAGTTGTCTAGTACTGCTTAGTTTGGGACTAGATGGCGTTGTGTGAATGTGGTAGAATATTATTACAATTAATTAGCGATAAAAACGTAAATAAACCGTTTGATAAAAGTGTTGTAATTACATAACTCACTTGCTTTTTAAAAGGTGTTATCCATCCAGATCTTTGTTTTTCCATGTTTAGTTGTTATCACTCCACTATCACTGATAATCACTGTTGACGTTCACTGTGAGGAACAGCATTCCGTCGTCTGCCACTCGTAAACTTTATCTCAGATCTTCAACACGTTACGTCCCTGATAAACTTCGTTCGACATTTTCCGTACTGGCATGTGACTTTACTCTGCTTAGAAAATAAAACTATCAATTTAATAGTTTTACCAACTATTATATTTCAAATATTATCCTTAAAATTCTAAGCAACTGATCTACATAACTCATGATCAGATAGCGCAGGATTTTCTTGCATCGAGAATAAAAATTAAAATTTAACGTGGCAATGCCTGCCGCTAGCTTACAAGGGAAACCTACCAGAAGAGTTCTATCTATGACGCATGCAAGTAAAAAGTATTTTAGCATGTGTTTCGGAAGCAGTTCGGATTGTCCGGTAACGGCCAGTACGGGTTACGGCAGGTATCCGACCCTGACATGTTCGAAAAGTTCCCAACTCATCCATAACCTGCCTATCACACCATTGATCAATCTTTTACCTAAATGGTGAATCGAGCTACTGACAAAACCATATTTGACGTTAATGAATACACTTGGAAATTATCTTTGTACTTACTGACTAAGCGGTGGTGGGTATTTAAACAGAAGTAGAGTGTAATTAAGATAATCATTTATCTGCATTATCTAATGGTCGGGCACTTATCTTTTATCTGTTTGAATTTGGGTTTTATGTGTTTACAGAAATGAAAAAATACATTTAGTAGTCTATAATAGTGATGTGCCGGATCGTTAACAAAGTATATCCGCGGATACGGATCCTAATACGGATATTTGGTGTCAAGATCCGCGGATACGGATACGGATACGGATCTTAAGTTTCTTACTCAATCGGAGCCCGTGACCTTGATAGTTGTCGCCACTTGACGCTTTGCCGTTGATATTTAAATATTTCATTATTTTAATAAGCTAATACAAAGATGTTTGATTGATCTCATTATAAAGATAGCTCTTTCAGTACTTACGACTTGCCTAGTTGATTTAGTGTAGTACGATAAATGATTGCAATACAAAGGTGCCAAATATTTGTTTTAAGAAATAAAAAGTAATCTGAACAGAATTCAATAGTTGTTCATAGCTACCTAATAACCATTATTCAGGGTTATTTTAAATTTACTGAAAACCTTTGAAGTGCATATTAGTAACATTATAAACAACAACTTTTCTTTTGGACTAACACCGAAAACGAAAGAAAAAAAATTGTTTCTCCATACAAACTAACAATATTTGATTGATCATTTGAATGGAGGACCAATTTTTTTTATTTTGACGTTGGCCAGAAAAAAGTTGCTGTTTATAGTGTTACAAAAACATACCTAAGATAATATAATAATATAATATATTCTACCACAGACACACAACGCCATCTAGTCCCAAATTAAGCAGAGCTTGTACTATGGGTACTAGACAACTGATATAAATACATATATACATTTTTTTTGTAAATACATACATATTATACATAGAAACACCCAGACCAAATCAAACATCAAATGTTCATGCACACAAATGTTTGACTTGAGCGGGAATCGAACCCGCGACCTTTGGAATAGCAGTCCATTACACAAACCACTACGCCATCCAGTCGTCAAAGAGTTTTACAGTGAATACAAAATCACCTGTATAGAATTTCATCTATGTAATATGTATTGAAAGATCCGCCAAAAAAGTCACGGATACGGATACGGTTACGGATCTCTCTTCTCCCTTGGATATCCGCGGATACGGATACGGATACGGATATCCGGCACATCACTAGTCTATAATACCTATGTGATTTGTTTTTATTATGTTCATTTGTTACTTACCCATGGAATTGTCTATCCAAAAAGTTTTCTATAAGAGACTGCTGTGTAACGATAAAGCAGCTATTTGTGAATATTAATTTAATGTATTATTGTATCACTCAAGTAAAAAATTTTGAACAGTTACCTAGAATTAAAATCTTCACAAAATAATACTTCAATCACCCAGATCATAATATTGCCAATAGTGTGTTAGAATGTCAAGCAAAATATGATACTCTTAAGTCTTATCTTAGCACCAAATCTAATCTCTGTCGAAAACACATCACACTACACTCACTAGTACCTGACACAACAACCACTGAACCTTTGTTGTGTATTGTGAACCATCCAAAACGTTGCACAAAACTTCGATTTACATTTCAACAACCAACGGGAGTAACTCCTTAGATAAACACTGCTGTGATTATTTATAGATCGCATGGTGGCATCGTGCCATCTTTAAACGTAAATATCTCATTTACTATCGCTATACTTTTTACGTTTATGTTTATTTATTTAAAAAAAATACAAATGCAAATTTAGCCAATATTTATAACTTACATAATTGAGTCATTAATGTTGTATTAAGCGGTTTTAGGTTAAATTATTTAATCAACGTTCTGTGGTAACAGGAAAGAGATAGTTAAAAAAAAATAGGAAGCTAGTTTCTTGATAAACTAATAATAAATATACAATAGGGTAATAATTGTCCGTGTGGTGAAGGATTAAGAATACAGAGTGTCACCACCCCTATTCATCCCGTGGGTGTCGTAAGAGCCGACTAAGGGAAAAAAAACTACGCAGAACAACAGCACTGCAGAGAGAAGGAAAACTTGACACAAACCCTATACCAACCCGTCTGGCCAGCGTGGTATAGTAGGCCAAAACCTCCTTTCTAAGGAGAGGCTTATGTCCAGCAATGGACTATTAAAGTTCGGTTCGAGTCCGACATAGCCACCGGTGGGTGGTATACGAGTAGTATACGAGTATATATAAACGCATGTAACTGGTTTAGAACGCCACAGTTTTTGCGTAGTTTAATGATCTATAAAATCATTGTAAAATATATTTACTATGAATTGCTAAGTACCTAAACACGTACGTAAAAAGTACCTAAACATACAGAAGTAACTAAACATATCTCGATCCGGTACCAAACCAGGCAGAGCTTGAAATATGGTCACCAGACTAATAATAAACATTTCAAAAAACATACACATACGTATATGAATGGTATCCAGACACAGAACAAATGATCCTGCTCCTCAGTCAATTAACCAACAGGTCAGTAGAGCAACATCCGCTATTAGAATTCGAAAGTAAATTCTATCGAGAGAAAACTGATGAGTTTTGTAGAGATTTAGTGCATAATCTGACGCGTTATTATTCTAAGAATCTGACCAACAGCCGTATAATATAAGCTAATCAATGTAAATATATTGTGCAGAGAGAATGTTGTTGTTTTGTAAGCCGCGTTTTTATTGGGTCCTTTAATACATGCACATCTTGCGCAACTCATTGGTTTCGTTTTCAACGTTGACAACGGAATACGGCACCCTAAAAAATATTAATTAATTATTATTATTAAAATTATCATATGTGTATAGTCGTGAGTTTATGTATGTAAAATTATAGTGGTAACAATTATAACTAAAACTATTTCTACTTATTACCCTGGTTTTATTGACACATGGACCAAGCAAACAGACAGATCACCTGATGGTAAGTGACCACCGCCGCCCAAGGACACCTGCCACTCAAAGGACACAAGTGGTTCGTTGTTGTCGTCACTTGAGTGAGCACAGAATTTAGCGGGAGGGGGTATCAAAACTGCTTCATCTATACAAAAAAATCATATTCAAGTGTCTGTTTGTTGTCAAAATAATAGTTTTTTTCATGCTCTTACGATTATTTGCACATTTTGTCTATCTGTTTGTTCCGGTTAATCTTCTAAACGGCTGGATCGATTTTAATATTATTTTACTACCAGGTAACTGTCTATATAAGAATTAACTTAGGCTATTTTTCCTCTCAGAAAAACCTTTTAAAATTTGGCCCGGTCCGGGAACCGTACCCACTAAGGCAGTGCTTTTCAAATTCTACGCAAACGAAGTCGCGTATACCAGCTCGTTGATCATATATAGAAGTTTACTTTGACCGTCCGCAGCTGTGTTCACGTAAATACCGACTTTGTCAACCAATTTTTCCTTATAAAAAGATGCTTATGTATTTAATTGTAAACTTTAACTAATATTTGTCTCTGAGGCAAGTTTAATCTTAATTCATCCCGCCCTTCTGATGTCATTGAATACCAAACACCCATACATACATCCTCGCAAGCTTTCGCGATAATACCATTAATGGGATTTTCTTACAATTAATGTTTTAAAACCGCCTGTGAAAGTAGTCAACGTGAGTTCCGACAAGGTTTCATAAGCACACCAGTTTATTATACAGTGCCTCGCCAACTTTACTTTCTTGTAAACTTTAGACCTGAGAGGTCGAGAGTGAACGAGACAGTGCAAGCGGCACTCGGTCCAATCAATGGTTCTCTTCTTACGCAGACAATAACTTTTTATATCATTTTGGTGTTCAAATGAGTGATATTTATTAATGTCGTGCGTGGTTCTTTGGTGTTTAATGTGTGTGTGTGTTCAGATATTTGAAGCATCATATTTCAGGTAACAAATTGCGTAAGGATGTTTAAGATTATTCTGCCTTGCTAATCCGAAAGACTGTAAATCGACTTTCTGTGTTTTGCCTTAACAACGCTCAATCAGTTTCTTTACGTCGGTTTAGTACCCCTGATCAACACTTTTGTTATTCTAAAGTATATTTTAGAAGAGACAATAATCTAAAAAATACTGTATTGTATTGAAATTAGGGTTTTAACATGGTAAAAAACTGTAATAAAGCTTTCAAAGTCAAAAGTAGTTTTCAAAAGTTACAGTGTTTTGGATTGACACGCCAGTATATCATAATATTTATATAAATAAATAAAAATTTAAAATACTGGAGCTGGATGCGAGAAGCCCAAAATCGATCTAAGTGGCGTGCAATGGGAGAGGCCTATGTCCAGCAGTGGACTGCGATAGGATGATGATGATGTATGTATGTACTCGTATGTATGTTAGATAAACAAAAAAAGTGTTGAAAATTTGTATTTTTTAACAGTGAGTGCTATGAAGTTCAAAATTATGTAAAAGGGGCGAAGTAAATCTGTAATTTATATATATATATATATATATATATATATATATATATATATATATATATATATTATAATTGAAGTATAATTTTTTACTTAGCTGTGTATGTAGTATAATAACCTTATGTTATAAATGTAAAGTGTAATCGTATAAAATCGCATTGTGTTAAAATATAATAATTTTTATGCACTATGAGAGTTTTCACAAACGTAGAACTGAGATCAATTAAGTGTAACTCTGCTAAATCCAATATCTTGATTTCAAATGTTATTAGAAACCGACAAATGTTATTACATCCATACTTTCATACTTAAATTATGAATATGAGAGTGCGTTCGTTTGTTACGCTTTCACGCCTAAACCACTAACCGATTTCAAAAATTGTTTCACCAATAGAAAGCTACATTATTAACGAGTAACATTGGCTACTTTTGGCATCGACATACACGCGGGCGGAGCCGCAGGCAAATGCTAGAACAATCATAATTAACAAACATTAGGTTATGATTTCATCAGACTGTGTACATTGTGTTCGCTTCTATTTACATCAATGCCATTGCTCCTAAACCACTGGCGCTGATAATTCATATTTTAGGAACTAACTTGTGTAAGGAAAGTAATATATTAAAATGTTGTCTCTAAATCTTTAAAAGTTAAATAATGGATTTTATTATTTAGTGATTTATTGAAAGAAACATTTATAGCGGTAGGAGCTTTGTTAATGTTAACAATTATTTAAGTGTGTAAAGTCTAATATATCTATATATCCAATAATAGTGAATATTTATAACGAAAGTTAAGTACCACGTCCATTAAAATATTAAATATCCATTTTGTTTCATAATATTGCACAGAACAGTACAGACTACACATTATAATAACATCGAATACTTTCTATGAAAGCACTTTTTTATAAGTTTATTACTAAAATGAGTGCCATACAAGGCCTATTGATTGATTGAAGTAGGATGATCATTCTTCTTATCGAATAATCTCTTTGAAATCTAAATTTTTCTTCTAGATCATGGATATTTGAATCCAATATACTTATGTAAAGTACGAGCTCAAGATACATGGAAACATATTTCTTGGAACTAAAAAGATGAAGAGACAATACAGAACACGAGCATAATGAAGACGCCATTAATTCGACAGGTTCGTTTTTTTATAGTAAAAGAATTTTACATCACATTAACAGACTTTAATAGTACAATGCTGGCCTACTATACCACGCTGGCCAGACGGGTTGGTATAGGCTTTATTTCATGTTTTCCTTCTCTTTGCAGTGCTGTTGTCCTGCATAGTTTGCTCCCTTAGCGGCTTTTGCGACTCCCAAAGGGATGAATAGGGGTAGCAATATTCCGTAGTCTTAATCCGTCACCACACGGACTTAAAATCATAACAAAAAAACAGATTTCTCAATACATACTTTTATCTATTCTTAATTCTGGGTCCGTTCAATGAGGATTTTAGATTAGGCAGACCTTGTAATATGGTAACCGGACTGCTGATCATCATACTTGTATATTTCTAAACGCAGACATATACATATATTACACCAAGACACAGAGCTGATGATCTTGGTCATCTTAGAATCATTTAATTTTGACCTGGATGGAATCGAAGACTCGTCATTTCTCCGCATCGTCCGATCAGTCGGACGAAGTAGTTGGACCAATAAGCAATGTGAATACATGCTTTTTGGATGGTCTAACAGTAAAAATTAAAAGAAACCAAATACTTTTCGTTCTAAAGAGTGGGTGTCACTTCTAGAGTTTAATATTAAGGACGTATATTTATTTCCAGACATGGACAATGTCAGCGGTATTAATCAACATGTTTGCTCAAGGAATCATGTTAAGTTATCCCACAAGTTTGCTGCCCGCACTCAACCAACCAGATTCCCCCATCAAAACTGATCTTAATACGTCATCATGGCTGGGTATTTATTATTTATTTTATTTTTATGTAATTTTTATTGTTGTATTCGTCATTTCAAACCAGTGAACGTTAGTGGATAGTTCGAACAAAACATTCGTGCATTCATTTTCATTAATTTAAATATTAAATACGAAATAGGGTCCAGCCCAGGTGTGGTATAACTGGTTATAAGTTTTTAATAACTTAGTTATTAATAAATCGCAAACTTTTTTTTTTGTGTTTATAACCCCTCGGGCACAACTTCACCGAGCACTCTGCAAAGTAGTTATCCCGTTGAGATTGCAAAAGGCGCGTATTAATATTTTCTCAATATTACAATAATTGATTATATTGGTTAATAGGATACATTTTTGACCCACGACCCAGCTTGTTTGCGTTTTGCTTTGCGAAAGCCACACGGTGTTCCGTCATAATCACAGTATAGCAATAATATATAATAGTGCAATATTCTACCACATTCACATAACGCCATTTAGTCCCAAACTAAGCAGAGCTTGTACTATGAGTACGAGACAACTGGTATAAATAAATATTCATATATATTTTATAACTATAATACATACATATCATTCAAGACATTAGAAACGCCACAACCAGACCAATTCAAGCACTAAATGTTCATGCACACAAATATTTGACTTGAGCGGGAATCGAACCAGCGATCTTTGGCACAGCAGTCCATTACACAAACCACTACGCTATCCGGCTGTCATAAAGCTCCTCCAAGGGGCTACACTAGCTATAACACGGAATGGGCGGAGAGCGGATTTCGCCCTCCGCCCGAAGACGTGCGCGAGTGGCGCGAAGCCGCTCGCGCACCATGGTCATGGAGCCACCATGGTCAGATGGTCGCTCCGGTTGGAGACTCCACGAGCTGGCTTCGCCGCCGTGGAGGCTCTCCAGCCGGTCATCGCTGAGTGCGCAGGGCGGCAGCACGGGACCCTTTCCTTCCGGCTGACGCAGGTGCTTTCCGGGCACGGTTGCTTCGGAAAGTACCTGTACTCGGTCGCTAGGAGGGAATCGAGTCCCGCCTGCCACCACTGCGACTGCAGTGAGGATTCGGCCCTTCCGGCGGCTTCCTAAACTGGAAGCGCAAAGAGGGCACACCGTGTGGTTTTAGTCGGTTCGAGTCCGACACACAGCCCCGCCGAACGAGAGCCCCGGCGGGGTGACGGTCCGAGGGGATTTCCACACGTAAAAAAAAAAAAAGCTATAACACGGAAAGGAGCTAAATAAATCAATAAACTATGTTTTGCAAAAGTGATATTTAAACCATTTGTTTTTTTTTCAGGTTCAATATTGGCCGTCTCTAGTATACCAGGCTTCCTCTTATCATCGGTCTTCATGGACTTGTATGGCAGAAAAATGACCCACGCAGTGGCCATTCTGCCTGGGATAGCCGGCTGGCTGTTAATATACTTTGCGGAAGATGTTAAAACGTTAATGATTGGTAGGTTTTTAGGAGGGCTCACTTCATCAGGAACAGTTTCTTTAGGAGCCATTGTCGTTGGAGAATATACATCTCCGAAATATAGGGGAGTATTTTTATATTTGAAAAACGCTACAGTTTGTATCGGTGCTATGTTAGTACATATTTTAAGTCAATATTTACACTGGAGAACTATTGCTTTAGTAGCATTAGTACCCCTTTTTGTAGCTCTAATAATTATTTACACGTGGCCAGAAAGTCCTGCATGGCTTGCTTCGACACACCAACATGAGCGAAGTGAAAAAATATTCTACTGGCTTAGGGGGTATAACGAGGATGCTCGAAAAGAATTCCAAGCCATGATTGAAGCCCAAGAAGCTAAGCTTTCAAAGCTAAAATCGAAAGTAAAATGTTCAGAAAGAATTAGTGATTTCTTTCGAAAGTTCAGACGAAGAGATTTTCTCAAACCGTTCATGATAATGGTGTTGGCCACATCGGTTCTTGAAATGAGTGGCAGACATGTATTCCCTAGCTACGCTCTACAGATAATGACGGCAATAACTGGAGAAACGACTCATTCTTTCTACTATGCCCTCGGTATTGACATCATGATAACAGCCAGCGCTCTCATAGCGCTAGTTCTCGTCAAGATCATGCCTCGCCGTACTTTATTATTTTCAACTGGTTTTGCAGCCGTAGTAATACTCATGTTAGTATCTTTGTACCTGTTCCTTATTTCTAAAGGCTTGATTGCTAACGGCAAAATGTGGATTTCTATAGCTTTACTTATAAGTTACTTCTTTCTGGCCAATTTTGGTTGTGCTCCTATACCTTTAGCATTGGTTGGAGAAGTATTTCCTTTAGCACATAGAGGAGTAGGATCAGCCTTGTCCGGGATCTGGATATCAATATGTTTAATGGCAGCCCTTAAATCCACACCACACTTAATGGTTAATTTAGGTATTCATGGTTTGTTTGCTGTAAATAGCAGTGTTATGGGAATATCATTATTTATATTATATTTCATTTTACCTGAAACAAAAGACCGAACACTTCAAGAAATCGAATATTATTTCAATCATGGCAAATTCCCAAATGCTGAAAATGAGGATACGGAGGCTAATATCAAGATGATACCTGATTAACATTGAAATAATTTTCCTAAGGTACAAAGTGTTTACTATAGATTTAATAGCATTAATTAATAATAAAAAATAAGTGTTAATTACTGGAATTAGTGTTTCATTTAATGATAGTATAGTTCGCTATATAATTGGAAGGGATACAAGATTACAAAAGGTACTTTTGCCCAATTTAGTAGCTATAATAGCAGATATACACTACCTAACCTGCAAACTTATCAAGTTGAAAATTAACCCAGTAACATTCGTGATTTACATATTTAAACTTTAGGACTCAAAGTGATTGTAACAAGTCAACTGATACATGTATTTTTAAAAGTAACGTTACATAAAATTTAATCAGATTATATAATCATTTAAAGTCTTGAAATAAGAAAGTCTTAAAACACGTGTAAAATAGTATTTACATATTTATTATATATTAATACTAATTAGCTTTGTTATAATAAACATAATAAATGCAAACGAGACAAGGTTTCTATTAAATTAGTATATTTAAATAAGTTATCTAGTTATGTATGAGCACGGTACAATTATAATACAGTACTCCAACTTCATACAAACGGACGAAACGCGAGCTATACCTACGCGCCTCGATCTCGGGGTGCGCTCGGGGCGCAGACAATCACGGCTGTACCGCAGTGTCAAAAGGACGGTGTGTTGTTTTTTTTAACAATAACCGCGCGATTTTTTCTCTAAAAATCAGTTAATATGACGAGTAGGAAATATTGTGCTGTTTTTGGTTGTATGAATGCGTCAATAACGCATCCAGACATAAGTTTTTTTTAATTACCTGGAAACTGAAAGGTAAGACTATAAAATAAATTTACTTACTAGTAGGTAGGTACATAATGTGTGTCTTTTTAATGGATAAGTATTTCCTTTTATCTTACGAAAAAAAAGGTGTTTGGATTAATAAAGCGAATAGAGTAACGGAAAGTTATTGAGACGAGTGAAATAGGTAGTTATATGCGGTTCTGAATGAATCATGATACGGTAGGTACCTACCTACTTACGCTTGTGTTAAAACTTCGGTGCATGTGTGTTTTGTTACTTTGCATAATTCAAAGTAAAGACGTGGTATTTTATTTTTAATAATATTTGTTTATTATCTGTGTGTATGAATAATACTAGAAACAATTTTTTACCGTCTGTGTGTCATTAGATAGTTTTCGAAATTTTCATAAAGTATTTCTGCTGCTACTATAACAACATATACCACTAAAAACTGGTTTCATTTTCTCGGTATTAACAACAACAGCTAGACTCATATATAATACTAGCTGACCCGCGCAACTTCCTCTGCGTATCTCAATAGTAATAAATTATCTCCGTTTTTGAAACATTCTTCATTGGTGCTCCGCTCCTATTGGTCTTAGCGTGATGATATGTAGCCTTCCTCGATAAATGGGCTATCTAACACTGAAAGAATTTTTCAAATCGGACCAGTAGTTCCTGAGATTAGCGCGTTCAAACAAACAAACATACAAACTCTTCAGCTTTAAAATATTCGTATAGATTTAGATGTTTGAGGGTTGTGATTTTAAAACATTCGTAGTCAGCTGTTCAGCTTTTTAATAATTAATTAATTAGTGACCAAAGAATTTTTGTTTTGAGTTGTAGGTAGGTACCTAATTTATGGAGACGTTAATAAGCTGAGATAAAAAGTTACTTACTCGTCAGCTGTTTCTTGCATTCTAGTTGAGTAGGTAGGTGTTGGAGTTTCTAAGGATTGGAGTTTTGTAACGCGTAAGGAGAAAGCACATTTTTTTATTCTTAAGCTATTGTAGCTTTTATCGCGGGCTCACTTCCTATTCAATATACAAAGTATTTCATTTATTTATATAAAAAGGATATTTACAATCACAAATCTAAATAGAAACAGAAAGTAGGCAAATATAAATAAAATGCTGTAGTAGTAGTAGTACTGTGTAGTAGTAGTACCGTCACGGTACTATTATAATACAGTACTGTAACTCGGCCGCATGATAGAAATAAATGCCTACAGCCGCGCGGTACGTAAACATGCGTTAGGGCTGCCCGTCTCCAGCATTTTAATTATATTTGCCTACTTTCTGTTTCTATTTAGATTTGTGATTGTAAATATCCTTTTTATATAAATAAATGAAATACTTTGTATATTGAATAGGAAGTGTTCAATAAAAATGCGTGTTATTTTTTGATTGGTAGATTTAATTATTTTATTTTCTTTCTGCATTGGAGGAGTTCAAGTTTCAATTTTCTTTTTCTTGGAGTGTTGCTAGAGAGACTCGTTGAGGTTTGAGCAAAGATTTCATTTGTTGCATTTTCAGTCTGTGTACTATTTTCATTTCCTACCAACGGAGCAGTTTGGGTTTGTTTATCTTCTTTTAGAGATACTCCTGGATCAGTACTAGCTAAGCTTGGCAGCATCAACAATGGTAGGGCATTCTTTTTTAAAAGTTTTCTATTTGATTAATGTAATACATCCTCCAAATTAAAATGTTTTTCACAAACTTGGTAGGAACTAAAGTTAGGTTTGTTTTCCAAATCATCTCGCCCGATCAGTTGCAACCATTGAAGACGTCTGAAAAAAAAATACATGTGACACTCTCGGAGACTGCCGCGGTAAAGCTATTGCATAACATTTTTTTTTAAAGAAAAAAATCTGCGTGGTGTCAGGTATTTTTCGTTAGGTTTTGAGAATTTCTTGATTCGGTCACCGCGCCGCGGCGCGCTCAGAGCCCGCGATAAAAGCTATGCAATAGCTTAAAAATCCTTCTATAGAATAAAAAAATGTGCTTTCTCCTTACACGTTACAAAACTCCAATCCTTAGAAACTCCAACACCTACCTACTCAACTAGAATGCAAGAAACAGCTGACGAGTAAGTAACTTTTTATCTCAGCTTATTAACGTCTCCATAAATTAGGTACCTACCTACAACTCAAAACAAAAATTCTTTGGTCACCAATTAATTAATTATTAAAAAGCTGAACAGCTGACTACGAATGTTTTAAAATCACAACCCTCAAACATCTAAATCTATACGAATATTATAAAGCTGAAGAGTTTGTATGTTTGTTTGTTTGAACGCGCTAATCTCAGGAACTACTGGTCCGATTTGAAAAATTCTTTCAGTGTTAGATAGCCCTTTTATCGAGGAAGGCTATAGGCTATATATCATCACGCTAAGACCAACAGGAGCGGAGCACCAATGAAGAATGTTTCAAAAATGGAGATAATTTATTACTATTGAGAGACGCAGAGGAAGTTGCGCGGGTCAGCTAGTATTATATATGAGTCTAGCTGTTGTTGTTAATACCGAGAAAATGAAACCAGTTTTTAGTGGTATATGTTGTTATAGTAGCAGCAGAAACACTTTGTGAAAATTTCGAAAACTATCTAATGACACACAGACGGTAAAAAATTGTTTCTAGTATTTTCATACACACAGATAATAAACAAATATTATTAAAAATAAAATACCACGTCTTTACTTTGAATTATGCAAAGTAACAAAACACACATGCACCGAAGTTTTAACACGAGCGTAAGTAGGTAGGTACCTACCGTATCATGGTTCATTCAGAACCGCATATAACTACCTATTTTACTCGTCTCAATAACTTTCCGTTACTCTATTCGCTTTATTAATCCAAACACCTTTTTTTTCGTAAGATAAAAGGAAATACTTATCCATTAAAAAGACACATATTATGTACCTACCTACTAGTAAGTAAAATTATTTTATAGTCTTACCTTTCAGAGTTTCCAGGTAATTTAAAAAACTTATGTCTGGATGCGTTATTGACGCATTCATACAACCAAAAACAGCACAATATTTCCTACTCGTCATATTAACTGATTTTTAGAGAAAAAATCGCGCGGTTATTGTTAAAAAAAACAACACACCGTCCGTTCGACACTGCGGTACAGCCGTGACTGTCTGCGCCCCGAGCGCACCCCGAGATCGAGGCGCGTAGGTATAGCTCGCGTTTCGCCCGTTTGTATGAAGTTGGAGTACTGTATTATAATTGTACCGTGGTACCGTGGTATGAGCGTCATTCAAACTCTCAATATTCAACCACATTTGTAAAATATGATCTAAAGAATCAATGTCTACAAATGGCAACATTTTTCGCAATTATTTAGTCATTCATAAACATAATGTTTGTCTTTCTGACTGATGAGTCACCTCTCCGCTCATAATTTGTTTTATATTATACATCTAATGACTTTGTCAAAATTAAATTTCTTGTAAAATAAGAAATATAATCCTGTTAAAACCTGTTATAAATGAGAGATAGAAATTTTCTTGTAATTTTAAGTAATATATCTACCGACTTCAATGTGCCTTAGTCATTATAAATTATAATAGCTACGCTGTTTTCTAAATCTTTCAATTTTTTTGAGATAAAATACTTTTCCTGAGTTGATGCCACTTTTAAGCACTATCGATTTTGTCTTTGCCTGTCTGTGTCTTATATAGGTAACAAAAGTTGAAATATATTTTGTATTTCAATTACATATTAAATAAATAAAACTTTACGCCGATCACATGTACCTTAGACCGTGAAATTCCTTGTCTGTCGTCCGCCTCAAAACACGTGACGCTTGGCGCAATGTCGGCAGACGTCGCTGGCGATATTATATGTATGTGTGGGAAAGGTAGAAGTCGTATTGGGGTAAGAAAAACCAAAAGGGGAAGAATCGGTGTCACTTACGTACCGTTAGTCTCAAATAGAGAAACGAGACTGAGAGTACAACATTTCCAAGACGGCAGTGTCGCGGTCCTGTGTGTTCATCCTGTAATCACAGTAGGAAAGGAGAAGTGCTTACTGCGAACGGTACAAAACCTGCATACGAAAGTATATAAATATCAAACTAGAAATCAAACTTGTATGGACAAAATCACACTAACACGAATATCACAAATGAGGAACAAATCTATTATTAAAGCGCCGTTTCACTAATTGTAGCAATCAGTAAGTACAAATTCAATGAAAGCTGCAGGAGCTTATT